CGAATCGCCGCGGGCGACGCGTGCTCCACGCCGACGTCGCCCGCGGAGTGCCACTTCGTGTCCGTCGCCGCCGTGGAGTCGCGCGTCGCGATGAACGCGTGCTTCGCGTTTGGGCACTCGATCACGAGCCGCGTGCGGAGCTGCCGGCCCGCGACGTCGCTGTCCGTGAGGACGATGACCGGCGACGACGCGGCGGCGGCGGCGACGGCGGCGGCGACGTCACGCGGGACGACGTGGTGACCGGCTTTGGCGTCGTACCGTCCTTTCATGATGACGACGTCGATCGGGTCGACCGCGGCTTCGACCGCCCAGACGTCGTTGACGCCCTCGACGACGACGACCGCGTCCAGAGGCGGGCGCGCGGCGTCGGTGGACGGCCGCGGTCGCCGAGGTCGGTCCGACGAGGGCGTCGCGCTTTTCGATCGCCGCCGCTGCGTCGTCGTCCAATGCGGTCCTCTTCCGCCTCTTCCTCCTCGCCCGCGTCTCGGCGGCGCCGCCGCCGGTCTCGAACGCGCGGGTCGCGCGCGCGGGATGCCCGGGGCGTCGCCGAACAGGTCCCCGGCGCCTCCGAACAGGTCCATCCCGTCCAAGTCTCCCGCCCCTCGCCGCGCGCTCGCTTCGTCGGAAGACGCGTCGTCGGAAGACGACGCCTCGCGACGTTCGCGCGTCGCTCGCGTCGTCCCCGAGGCGCGCGCGCGACGCGCCGCGAGCGCGGGGAGGGACGGGCGGGCGTGATACGCCGGCGTCGCGGCGATCGCCGCCGCCGCCGCGGAAGGCATCGTTCCGCCGCGCGCGCGGCACTGACGAGCGATTCTCATCAGGACGCGGCCGGCGCGCTTTTTCGCGCCCGGGGGCCGACGAGGCCGCGACAGCACTGATGACAGGCTGGCGGCCGGCTTTTTTTCGACACGGCATGCGTGAGATACTTATCGCGTCGCGCGTCCCCGCGCGCCTCACTAGCGAAGGCGCGGACCGGGCGAGGAGGCGCCGGTCGGTCGCGTCTTTAGAAACACCCGAGGTCGCCGTTAGACTTAGCGAGCGCGGTGTCGGTAGGCGGGTAGGCGGTAGGCGGCCGGCGAGCGCGGGAGAATCGAGAACCGCAGATCTATCTCTCGACGAGGGATTTGGTTCCTGAGCAACCGTTTGCGGCGCGGGAATCGCCCGAATCCCTATCGCGTCGAATCGTCGTCGGGGGCGCCGTCGCGCGGCAGGCATGGCGGTCGCGGCGAGAGGCGTCGTGCGCGCGACGATAGATTACTTCGAGGACGTCTTCCTCGCCGCGGACGGGCCGACGCTCAAGAGAGCGGAGCCGCTCGTCCTTCGATGGGCGGTCGTCTTCGCGGCCGCGTCCTTCTTCTTCGCGGTCTTCACGCTGAAGCGCGAGTGGGGCGCGGATCGCGCGTCGAGAGCGGCGCTCGCCGCGATCGCCGCGTGCGCGTGCGCGGTGTGGTTTAAGGATGCGAGCGAGCGGCGGTGGGCGCGCGAGGCGTTCGCGCGCGGCGAAAGAGGCGGCGTCGCGAGCGGAGACGGCGATCGGGCGAAAGGAAGCCTTCTGAAGAAAGTGTGCCAGAATTGCGAGCACGAGTTCCCGAGTCAGTCCCCGCGCGGGGGGCACAAGTACGAGTGCGAGCGCTGCGGGCTCGTGAGCAAGAAGCCGAAGATCGTGCAGCGCGTCGATCGCGGCGTCGGAGGCGGAGCGCGAGGCGTCGCCGCGCCGGCGTCCTCCGAAGACCTTCGCTCGGCGGCCAAGGCGGATGGCGGCGGACCGAAGGCGACGTCGCGAACCGCGGAGGAGAAGCGGGCGGCGGCGAAAGCGGCGAAGCAGCGCACGCGCGAGGAGCGCGAGGAGCGCGACGCGGAGGAAGCCGCGGACCGCGCGGAGCTGCAGCGGTTGATCGAGGAGGAGAGGGCGAGGAAGGCGGCGCAGAGAAGGGCGCGAGAGGAGGAGGAGGCGGCGGCGGCGGCGGCGGCGAAAGAGGCGGCGGCGAGGGCGAAGGAGGAGGAGAGAGCCGCGGCGGCGAGGGCGATGGAGGAGGAGAGAGCCGCGGCGGCGATCGCCGCGGCGGAAGCGGCGGCGGCGGCGGCCGCGGCGGCGAAAGCGGCGAAAGCGGCGCCGGTGAAGCCGAAGACGATACCGGCGCCGAGGCCGCCCCCGGCGCCCCCGGCGACGGCGGCGGCAGCGGCGGCGGGTGGGAACGTCGCGAAGATACCGTCCTCCGTCGCGGCGACGGTTCTTCCGCCGCGTCTGCTCGTCGCTCCGTCGGACAGCGCGACCGAGGCGAGGACGGAGAAGACCAAGCCGGCGCCCGTCGCGGCGGAGGCCAAGCCCGCGGACCCGAGGGTGTTGAACCTCGACTTTGACCCGCCCATGCGACCGATGCAACCTATGCAACCCGCGTCGGCGTGGAACGCGGGTCTGTCGCCGCCGCCGTCGCCGAGCGCGGCGGCGCGCGCGTCCGCCGCGGCGCGCGACGCGACGTCGGCGTCCGCCCCCGCGGCGGTCGCGGTCAGGCCCCCGCCCCCCGGGTTCGACCCGCTCGGCGGATCGAGGACGTGGCTCGGCTCGGGCGCCGGGATCGCGGGCCTTCTCGAGCAACCGACGGGACAGGCGGCGACGACGGCGGCTGCGGCGGCGACGACGACGACGACGCGGCAGCCGCAGCCGCAGCCGCAGCCGCAGCCGCAGCCGATGCCGCCGCCGACGCGGGCGCCGACGAACCCGCCGCTGCCGAAAGGCCCGCCGCCTCCAAACGCGACGAGGCGGCCTCCGAACCCGCCGCTTCCGCCGACGCCGCACCCGTCCGCGCGCGGCGGCGCGCCGAACGCGTCCTCTCCCGCGTCCCCGCGCGCGTGGCTGGCGTCCCTGGGCCTCGACGCGTACGCGAGCAACTTCGAGCGCGAACGCATCAGCATGTCCGACGTCGTGTTGCTCACGGAGACGGACCTGGAACGTCTCGGGCTCCCGCTCGGGCCGCGGCGACGCGTCGCGGCGGCGGCGGCGGCGATGCGCGCGGCGGCGAACGCCCGCGGCGTCGGCGTCGGCGCGGCGGCGGCGCCCCCCGCGTCGTACGGCGGCGGCGGCGCCGCGCCGCCCGTCGCGCGCAGGACGTCCGCGCCCGCGTCCGCTTCCGCGACGACGACGCGCGTGAGCCTCGACGGCGGCGCGGCGTGGACCGACCGCGCGTTCGGCGGCGGGTTAGGCTCCGGGTTGTTCACGCCGTCCGCGTTCAGCGCCGGCGGCGGCGACTCGACCGGCGGCGGCGGCGTCCCGACGAGAACCGCGGAGGATCTGCAGATGGAGCGGCAGCTCGAGGAGGACCTCTCGAACGAGCTCATGGGCGCGCTCGGTCTCGACGACGACGACGACGACGCGACGATGGAGACGCGGCTCGGGTTAAACCTCGACGACCTGGTGGGCGCGGACGACGACGCCGCCGCCGCCGCCGCCGCCGACGTGCCGACGACGCCGCCGGGTCACCCTCCAAAACCCCCGGGGTTCGAGTTCGCGCTGGGTCCCGGCGTGAACGCCGCCCACGACGCGCTCGCGGACGCCACCGTCGCGGCGTCGTCGACGGCGGCGACGACGGTGACGACAGACGCGTCGCCCGCGGGGCATCATCATCATCATCATCATCATCATCAGCGCACGGCGAGCGTGGACGCCGACGCGAACGGCAAGCCGCCCGAGCCGAGCGAGATGATGGTCAAAGCTGTCGCCATCTTGCGCGCGGCGAACGCCGCCGGGCACTCCATCCCGCAGGAGTTCTTCGACTGCATCACCACGGACATCATGCTCGATCCGGTGATCGCGTGGGACGGGCACACGTACGAGCGCGGGCGGTGGCTCAGGGAGCACAGCACGTCGCCGATGACGGGGGAGACGCTGCCGGATTTCACGCTGCGTCCGAACCACTCGATGCGGTCGCAGATCATCAATCACGGGGAGAAGTTGGAGAGGCAGGGCGTCGCGGGCGCGTGAGGAGGAGGAAGAGGGCGGGGCGCCGTCTTCGCGTAGAGAACGAAAGACGGCTCAATTTTATTCATCAAGATGATTTTTGACACGATCGGCTCGCGCACTCTCCGCGCACCCCGCGCGACCGAGGTTAAGGAAGATGCACGTCGCGCTCGCGTCCGCGGCGGTCCCCGTCGCGGTCCCCGTCGGCCGCGCGGGCCGCGGGTCCCGCCGCGCCGCCGCCGCGCGCTCGCGCCGCGGACGCGTCGCGTCGTCGTCGTCGTCGTCGTCGTCGTCGTCGTCGTCGTCGTCGTCCACAGCTGACGTGGACGACGACGATCGCACATCGCGCCGCGTCGCGCTCGCGTCGCTCCCCGCCTCCGCGGCGCTCCTGTCCTCCCTCCTCCGCCCAACCTCCGCGAGCGCGGACAGCGGCGACTGGTCCTCCCCCGGGCTCGCGCGGACGGACATCGAGCCCGCGAAGTACGTGAAATCTCCGCTCGGCGTCGTGTACGAGCAGATAAACGACGGCGACGGGAAGCCCGCGGAACCGGGCGACGTCGCGGTGTTCCAGTACGTCCTGCGACGCGCGAACGGGTACTTCATCTACGGCACGATCGACTGCGGCGTCGGGTGCGGGAACGGCGACCCCGCGGAGTACACGCTCGGCCCGGACGGGAACCTCATCGCCGGGCTGGACGAGCTCCTGACCGGGATGCGACCGGGGGAGAAACGCCGCGCGCTGATACCGCCGGCGGCGGGGTACGTCAGCAAAGGGCTCGAGCCGCAGCCGCCGGAGTTTGGGCAGAAGCGGCAGGTGGAAGTTCACGCGTCCGAGCCGCTCGTGTTCGAGGTCAAGCTCGTGAAGACGCGGCAGAGGGGGGGGAAGCGGTGACGCGGAAGGGGGGATGGGCGGAGAGAGACGCGTCTACGTCTCGTCTAAAATAATTGTCTCAAATAATCTTAAAGCTGCCCCGCGGCGTGCATCTTGTCCAGCTCCGCCTTCCCCTTCTGCAAGATCTCGATCAGGTAGTCCTTGTTGTACGCCGTGTGCTCCGGGTCGAACGGCTCGCCCTTCTCCGCGGCGACGCGGATCTGAAACCCGAGCTTCGCCTGCGCGTTGAACGTGTTCGCGTACCCGTACCCGACGCCCTTCTCGTGATGGAGCTGATAGGGTCGTTCCATACAAAAATAGTTCATCGGTCAGTTGAAATTAAGACGCGATCAAATGTTGAAACCGTGTGAAGGGTGAAAAACTTTTGTTTAGAACGCACCTGATAGTTGTTGTACCACACGTCGCGCTTCTTCTGCCAGTCCGCGATGTTCGCCTCGCTCAGGTCCGAGCCGTCCAGGATGGACGTCGTCAGCCGAATGATCTCCATGGTGTCTTCGTAGTACTCCGGCGGCGCGACCGCCTTCGCGGGGGACGCGGTGGACAGCGCCGCGAGGAGCGCGGGCGCGCCGAGCAGCGCCGATCGACGGTTCATCGTTTTCGGAGTCGTCGCGGCCGGCGTCTTCGCGCTCTGCGCGGAGGACGGCTTCGCGGCGGAGGACGCGCGCGTCGCGGGGGACGCGCGGCGCGCGGCCGCGAGGATTGGGGCGGCGCACACGGCGGCCATGGCTCGCGTGGGGGCGTGAAGGGGGTGAGGGGCGTGCGGCGATGCGCGCGCGCGGGGGGAGTGCGCGCGCGCGCGGGCCGATCGATCGCTATCCGAGCTGGCTCGAGATGAAAGATCTCGCTCTCGTCGAGCGGCTCGCGGCGTCGCGCTCGCGATCGAGGTTCACGATCAAAATGGGTCACGGCTCACGAGGCTCACCGCGATGAAAGCCGATCGGTTTTCATCGCAGCGCCGACTTGATCGACGGAGAACTGCGATAAAAGTCGGCGGCGCGAATTCATGTCACTCCTCCTCGCGCCTCCCGTCATCACGGGACCGCGAGCGAGGCAGTCCCCCGTCTAATCATGGGGAAGAAGACGAAGAGCGTGAACAACAAGCAGAAGACCGGGATCGACTTCATCCGCGCGAAGAAGAAAGTCGGGAGGACGATCAAGAAGCAGGCGAACGAGACGGACACGTCGATCCGCGCGAAGCGCATCAACCTCCCGGGGCAATCCATCGCGGCGGAGTTCTCCAAGGGCGACGCGGTCACGACCCGCGGCCTCTCCATGCCCGAGCTCTTGAACCAGACGCACCACTACAGCGGCAGGGTGCGCAAGGACGCCCTCGACGGCGTCAGAGAGCTCCTCGTCGCGCATCCGCGCTGCGCGCACGCCGCCGCCGCGGTCGTCGTCGAGCGCGTGGCGGAGAAACTCGTCGACGTCGAGCACGCCGTCCGCGTCGCCGCGAGAGGCGCGCTGAAGCTCGGCGTCCTCCCCGCGCTCGGCGCGCGCGGCCTGGTCCCCTTCGCGCGACGCCTCGTCCTCCACGTCGGCGCGGCCTTGACGCACGTGTCGCCCGCGGTGCGAAAGGACGCGCCCGCGGTCCTCGACGCGCTGGTGGAAGCGGCGCCGAAACTCGTCGGGCGGCACGCGGCATCCGCGACGACGCGGCACCTCGCGGAGTTGCTGCGGCGCGGCGACGACGCGGCGTCGTCGTCGCTCGTCAGCGGCGGAACCGGAACCGGGGGGGATACCGGCGGCGGCATGAGCGGCGGAAGACGGAACGTCAACCGTCGCGGCGAGATCGCGTCGCGGTTGCGCGCGGCGGGCATGTCCGGGGCGTTCGGCGACGCGACGGCGTCGAGGATCGGCGCGCAGGCGCGTTCTACACACTGGTCCCCATACGACCGCGTCGGCGTGGTGAACGCCGAACCTTAAGGACTTTGCCCGGCGCTTCTCTCCCCCCTTCCCTCGCTTTCAATCCCCGACCGCGACGCCTTTCAACTCCACTTGACGCCTTTCAACTCCACCCCGCAGACGCCGGCGGGCCGCGCCGCGCTGCTGTCGTCGTGCCGGCGGTTCCTCGAGGTGCTCGCGGGGGGGAACGCGGCGTCGATGGACGGCGACGGGGGTGGGGGGAGAGTCGCCGGCGTCGAGGCGTCCACGTGGCGATGGGACGGCGACGACGGCGACGACGGCGACGGCGGAGACGGCGGCGACGCGAACGGAAACGCAAACGGAAAACGTCTCCGCGACGCGAGCGGCGCGGCGCGGAGACCGCTGCACGCGCATCGCGCGGCGCCGCCGCCGATTTCCGCGGCCGCGGCCGCGACCGACGCGTTCTACGGCGACGCCGCGTCGACGTCGGGACGAATCGCCAGAGAGAACGACGCCGAGGGCGTCGCGCGTGCCGCCGCGGAGCTCGCCGCGTTGGTCTTCTCCGCGTGGGACGAAGCCGCGCCGACGCTGTCTGACATCAACGGCGTCAACCTGACGCAGATCAAGGTCATCACCGAGGCCGCGGCGTGTTTACAGCTGTGCATTCGGCTCGTGGACGACGCGAACGACGCCGCGACGGGCGGCGGCGGCGGCGCGGGCGGCGGCGGCGGCGCGGCGGCGGCGGCGGCGGCGAGGCCGTTGGCCGCGCGGATGCTGCGCGCGTTTCCCGCGACGGCGCCGTCCGCCGCCGGCGGCGGCGCCGAACGCCGCGCGCTCGTGACGTACAACGTCGCGACGTGCCGGTTGTTATCGCACTGCGCGGACGCCGCCGTGGCCGCGGCGGTCGCGGAGGCGAACGAGGCGAGCAGACCCGGCGGATGCGGGATTGAGAGGTTCGCGTACGCGGACGCGGATGTCGTCGACGCGACGTCCGCCGCGGTGTCCTCGTACCTCGCCGCCGCGCTCAGGGGGACCGCGTTAGACGCGGGACCGTGCGGGGAGGCGGAGGCGACGACGGAGGGGGATTACGTCGAGCTGTTGAGAGTCGCGCGCGGGGCGTTGACGCGGGCGACGCTGACCGCGGAGAAGGACGAGAGCGAAAGCGAAAGCGACGACGACGACGACGACGACGACGAAGACGCGGGGGTAAACGCGACGCGCGCGCGCACGGACCTCATCGACGCCGTGACGACGGTCTGGTCCGACGCCGTCGCGAGCGGGTCGCACGAGCGCCGCGCGTCGTGCGTCGCGCTGTTAGCCGCGGTCCTGCCGACCGCCGCGGGCGCGGGCGCGGGCGCGGTAGCGGGCGCGGGAGGGTCGAGAAGACGCTTCGCGGCGACGGCGCCGCCGCCGCCGTCAGCCGCCGCCGCGTGGATCCGACCGTTCGCGCGGCTGCTCTGGGAGCTGAAGCACAAGGACGCGAACACGACGCTCAGGGCGCTCCGCGCGCTGCGCGCGACCGCCGCGCGCGTCGGCGCGGAGAGCGACGCGCCGACGAAGGACGCGCTCGTCGCCGTGGAGGCTGAGCTCGCGCCGTTTTTCGCGCGCGCGCCGCCGCCGCCGGCGGATGCGAACGCGCCGCGGGTAACGCCCAAGCACGGTCCGTTTTCAAAACTCCCGACGGAGTGCCAGGTCGCGTCCATCGCGCTCCTCGGGGTGCTCCCGTCGCTGTCGCCGTCGACGCTGCGCGCGGTCGCGCACGCGGTGCTCTCCGACGCCGACGCGTCGCTCCCGGCGCGCGCGATCGAAGCCGTCGCGTGTAACCTCCGCGCCGCCCCGCTCGCGCTGTCCGTGTCCTTCTTCGGCACGCTCGCCGTCGGCGCGCGGTCGTGGGGCACCGTCGGTGTCGCGGCGAACGCCGCGGGGAACGCGCTCGTGAGCTTAGCCGGCGACGCGAAGTCGCCGTGGACCGGGGCGGAGCTCGCGTGGCCGGTGATGAACGCCGCGCGGACGCGCGCGAGGCGCGACGGCGACGACGCGGGCGCGCGGCGCGCGGCGTACGGCGCGCTGGTCGTCGCCGCGGTCGCCGCGGAGGCGCCGTGCGGCGCGGACGCGAGCTGCGGGAAGCTCGAGGACGCGATCCCGGAGCTCGTCGCGGAGACGACGCGCGTCGGCGGCGTCGCCGTCGCGATGTCCGCGCGCGCGTCGTTCGCGGCGGCGGCGGCGGCGGCGGCGGCGGGCGACGGCGGCGTCGACGGCGCCCTCGCGCGCGCGGGCGCGTGCGCGCGGCTCCTCCTCGCGGTCCCGCGCTGGCTCGCGCCGACGCTCGCGCGCCTCGCGTCCATCGCGACGGACGCGGACGCGGACGCGGACGCGGACGGCGGCGTGGATCGCGTCGAGGGCGTCGCCGGCGCGGTGGGCGCGTTGTGCGCCGCGTCGCCGGCGGAACGGTTTTCCTCCTCCTCCGAATCCGGACGCGCGAACGCCGCCGCCGCGCGCGAGGCGGCGGACGCGGCGTCGAGAGCCGCGGACGCGTTGGTGCGCGCGAACGCGGCGGGCGCGGCGAACGCGGCGAAAGCGGCGAGGGTGGCGCGCATAGGGGTGGACGCCGTCGTCCTCGCCGCCGAGGGAACGACGGGTTGACGAGTATGAACACGTTTTCGCGCGTCGGGCTCGGCGATCAGAAGATCAGATAGAATTAGCGATGCGTCGCCACGCCGCGATCACTACCCGGTCTCTACAGTAGGCCCTACTCGCATCATCATCATCATCATCATCATCACATGAAATCGTAATCGTCGTCGTAGTTCCCCCCCTTGGTGTCGTACTTGTAGTCCTCCAACCCCGAGTCCCCGCCCTTGCCGCCTTGGTTGAGGAACTTTTTCTTCTTGCCGCTGCCGGTCGTCGTCGCGGACGCCGATGCCGCCTTCGCCGCCGCCGCGGATTCCGCCTTCTCGCTCTTCACCTTGTCGTTCCGAATCGCGACGATCGCGGCCTCGACCTCCTTCACCTCCGCCGCGGACATCGTCTTCGTCGCGGACTTGACGAACGACTTGATCGCCTCCTTGTAAAACGCCGACGTCTTGAACGGCGTGAGGTACTTGGTCGCCACGAGCGTGCCAAACTTCACGAACTCCTTCTCGGACTTGGGCGCGTACGTCCCGAGGTCGATCTCCTCGCCGTCCGTGCCGAAGAGCTCCTTCGCCGCCTCCAAGTCCGCCTCCTCGACGAGCTTCTGCCTGCGAAGCTTCTCCGCGACGGGATCGGCCAAGGTTTCGTCGACGTACTCCGCCGCTTTCTTCTTCGCCGGCGCGGGCTTGGCGGACGGCTTCTTAATCACCGGGGCCTCGTCTTCCTCCTCTTCCTCGTCGAAGACGTTGGCCTTCTTCGGCGGTTCGTCCTTCGCGAGGTCGGGGACCTCGAACTCGTCGTCGTCTGCGTTTCGTTTCGGGGGGAGGGAGCGGGGCGTCCGGTCAGCGCGGCGGTTCGGTCGGCGGCGGGAGGGTGCGATCGATTTTTATCGCGCCAGGAAAGACGAGACGGCGCCGCGGCATCCCGAGAGCCGCGAGCGCCGGGACGCGACGCGACGCGGGGAGGACGCGAGACGCGCGCACCCCAGTCGAGATCGGACATAGCTGACGCGTGTGAGACGTGTGCGGAGGCCGCGACGTGCGTCGGCGCGCGCGAGAGAGGGGTCGTCCCGGCGTTCAAAACGACGCAAGACGGGTGGCGCGGGTGGCGGTGAGCGCGTTGATCGCGCAGTGATCGCGACGCAGATCGCGTCGATCGCACAGCAGGTCTGTCGCAGTTCTTCGTCTTTCACTGTCATATTATAGACTCCTCGCCGCTCCCTCGCCTCGCCGCCTCCCGCTCGCGCGACTCGCTCGCTCCTCTCAGAACAGCCCAAACTTCTTCCCGCTCGCCTCCTTCGCTGGCTCCGGCTCCGGCGCGCCGCCGCCGCCGCCGCCGAACAGCCCGAACAAGCCGCCGCCCTCGTTCACGTTCGCCGGCGCCGCCTCCTCCTCCGCCGCCGGCGCCGGCGCCGGCGCCTCCGCGGCCGCCCCTTCCTCGTACGTGCTCGCGGCCCACGAGCTGCCGTCGCCGCCCTCCTGCGGCGCCAGATTCCTCGCGTCCACGTCCCCGGCCGGGGTCTCCACGGTCTCCGGGATGAACCGCGTCTCCGGCGCGGGCGCGAGCGACTCCGCGGGCGCCTGCGCCGCCGCCTGCGCCGCAGCCTTGGCGCGCGCGGCGGCGAGGATCTCTGACTTGTTCTTCGCGCGCTCGACGAAGACGTCTTCCGCGCGCGCGGGGGACGCGGCGACGAGGAGCTGGAGCGCGACGAGGCCTGTGGAGGACGGGGGGGCGGGGGTGGCGGAGGATGGGGTGTGGTGAGTGCTTTGGGGGGGGACTCAGCGATCGATTCGATACGATTCGATTCGATCGTCGCGCGTCGCGTCGAGTCGAAGATATTTTGGGGACGCGCGCTCGGGACGCACCGGCGACGCCGACGGATTTCATCGCGGGGAAGCGCGCTTCCTCGGTCTCGCTGCGCCTGTTGGGACGGCGGGCGGGGAACGCGCGCGTCAGCGTCGTCGATCGCGGGGCGTCGCGAAGACGTCGTGGCTCAGAAAAAGGCACGGCGCGGATTGCCACGTGGGAATGAATCTCGTCTATCGATCGCGCGATATCGGACGCGGAGGACGCACTTGGAAGACGCGAAGACGGCGACGACGCGGCGCGCGGGACGCGCGCGGGTGACCGCGCGCGTCGTCGGCAGCGCGGACGTGTGCGAAAGAGTCAGCTGCATCGTGCGCGGTGTTCGATGGTATGACGACCATCGACGTGGGCTTCGGATATTCCACCGAAGCGAAGCTTTGAAAAAAAGTGACAGAGACGAACTGAAGACGAGAAAGATAAAAAGTTTGCCGCCGCGCCGACGCCGAGCGTCTCGCGATCGCGCGCGCGAGCGCTCGTTCGATGACACTAATATCTCGGTATTAAACTAAGGACGCGAGGCGACGGACGCCGTCCCGCGGAAAAAATCAATTCGTTCGGTTCGCGCGCGCTCGACCGACCGCGAGCGCCTTCTTCTTCCAAAATAAAAACGCCCGCCTCACCGCGACTTGGGCGGGAGCACGCACGCCGGCGCTTCGTTCTGGCTCGGGATGTGCTCCGCGACGCGCAAGATCGGCTGATCCGCGATGCAGATGTCCCCCTCCTCGCATCCCTCGTCGACGCTCCCGCCCATCGCCGCGAGCGCCCTGGCCTCCTCCTCCTCCCGCGCCGCTTTCCGATCCGCCGCCTCGAGCACCGTCGCGAGCTCCTCCATTCCCCCGGGCACCGCGCTCAGTTCCTGCGTCGCGAGGAACAAACCCCACGGCACGCCGTCGAACTTCTCCGTGTGGTGGATCGTGTGCCCCGCGGCGATCTGCCGGAGGTACTTATTCTTCCCCAGCGGGCCCGTGGGGAACCGCTTGTGGACCATGCCGTCGTGGACGTACATGTACGCGATGCCGAAAAGCGTGATGCCGAGGCCGGCGCCGAAGCACAATCCGCCGAAGACGCCGGGGGTCACGAAGCCGTACGCGCAGAGCGCGAACGCGGGGACGCCGTTGCTCACGGCGAAGATGTCGTTCGCCTCGAACGCGCCCTCGCGCGGGAGGTGGTGCGACTCGTGCAGGAGCCAGATGGGGCGGTTCCAGTCCGCGCGCCACGACTGCGGCATGGTCCACCACGAGTCGTGCCACAGGTGTTTGTGCGCGAACCTCGCGTAAAACTCCATCCCGACGGCGGCGCCCGCGATGAGCGCCACCTGCGCGATGAGCTCGGACCACGGGAACGCGCCGCTGTCGGTGACTTCGCGGAGTAACCGAAGATACGTGGCCGTTATCGCGATCGAGGTGATCCCGCACGTGCTCACCCACGCCGCCCACTCGTACGACTCGCCCTGCGCCTCGCGCTCGCCCTTCGTGAGCGCCTTTCGCCTCGGCTTCTTCTCCGCGATCGGCGTGACGCTCGGCTCGCGGAAGTTCGAGGACGAGTCGTCCTGGCTCGCGTTCACGGAGCGGTTCGTGTCCTGTGGACGGGACGGGAAGGACGGATCGGATCGGACGATGGATGGGATGGGAGGCGGCGACGTCAGCGGAGAGGGGAGGGGAGAGCGGAGAGACTGGATGGAGGGAAAAACGAACGCCGTTTGGTCCGAGAAAAAATCCACGCGTCGAGTGGATAGACTTCGGACCGTCGCCCCGCGCGGGGCGACGCCGGCGGCGACGGCGGCGACGCGCGACGCGCGCGACGCGACGAGGGAGAGAAGAGCGCGCGCACGTCGTCGATGATGGGGGCGATCGCACGCACCGCGATCGCGGACCGCGCGGTCGTGAGCTGCGGCTTCCCCGCGCCCGCGCGCACCGCGCCGGCGGCAGCGGCGCTCTCCGCGACACCGCCGTTCTGCGGCTTGGAACGCGCGACGCATCGAACCGCGCTCGCGCGCGCGTTCCTCGCGCCGTTGCTCCACCCCCCGACGCCCGTCGCTCTCGCGGACGTCTCCCTCGAGAACGCGCATTGCGCGCGCGTCCTCGGCGCGACGCCCGCGCGAGCGGCGCACGGCGCGCCGCACGCGCGCGTCGCCGTCGTCATCATCTTTTTCGTCTACGAGGAGCGGTTTTTAACACTCCTGCCGCCTCCGCGTCGTGGTCGCGACGCGATGCCTTCGCGCGCGTCGTCGTCGTCCGAGTCGCGCGCGTGCCCGTGCGCGGTGAGTGCGCGGCGTCGTGGTTTCGCGTTCGCGTCTGCGTCGCTCGTTCGCGCGTCGTCGAACCCCGCGTGCACGCGCGCGCGAGAGGGGAGTGACGAGCGACCGCCTCGACGCGACGTCCACACAGCGGTGGCTCCGAGCGACCCGACGACGTCACGACGCGTTAAAAAGCGCGCGCCCACCAGCGCGCCGATTGGCTCGACCGCGCGGGTTTGTGAACGAGAAGCGCCCAGACGTTTGATCGGCGCGTTGACCCGCGCGAACGGTTTCATTGCGGTGAAGCCGACCGGTTCATCGGATCGGTCGATCGCATTTCGAAACCGAAAACCAAACCGCGAGGTCGCGGCGCGGAGGCGAGGACGAACGCCGCCGTCGCGACGCCGTCGGCGCGGCGTTCGAAGTGACGTTCGACGAGGACGCGCGCGATGATACGATCGTTCGCGAGATGCCGTCGGCGGCGTCGGCGACGGCGCTCCGCGCCCGCGGCGCCGCGCGTTCGCCCGCGCCGGTCGAGAGGTAAAGTCAATGTATATATTTCTCCAATTCCCACTTTTGGCCAATGACTTACCTGGATTTCATCGGAACGCCAACGCACGATTAAGCGATTAATCGACGTGACCTTCACCCCGTTCATCGGACGATTACGATCGGACGGGGCAGTAGCTCAATTGGCAGAGCGCTCGCTTTGCATGCGAGAGGTACGGGGATCGAAGCCCTGCTGCTCCAGTGCTTTTTTAGTTTTTTGCTTACTTCATCGTAAACATGATGCAAGGAACCTCCCAACAAATTTTCAGGTCAATCGAAGCAGTTTTGAGGCGGCGGTGGTCGCATCTCGTCGAGGCTGGTGTAGTCTCGGGGAAAAAACATGACTGCTTTTTTTTTCAGTTTTTTTTGCCCGACCGCGGCCGGCGCTCTCTTCTGCCCTAATCTCGCCCCTCCCGGTCGCAGTCGTCGCGCGCGCGCTCTCGTCTCGCGCCATGGGGAAGGGCGACGCCATCGTCAAGGAGGTCGTCCGGGCGGTCCGGTCGCCGATGCTGTTCGTCCGGGAGTCGCCGAACCGTGCGTCCCCGCCGCGTCGCCCCCGCCGTCGCTCGCCCTCGCCGCCCCTCTCCCTCCTTCTTCGCGCTTCGCTTCGCTTCGTCGTCGTCTCCCCGCCTCGCCGCTGATCCCCCCCCCCGCCCCCCTCCCGCGCGATCGACCGACAGTGTTCGAGATGGTGAAGACGCTCCCGGACTGGGGCGTCGGCGCCAAGGTCGCGAAAGGGAAGTGGAAGCACTGCGGCGCGGAGAACTCGTTCTGGACGATCACGCGCGTCCGCCCGAGGACCAGTCGCAGCGGGAAGGTTTGGGGGAACCTCACGTGGAAGGGGGAGGAGAAAGAGGATAAGCTCGACGTGCGCATACCGCACGCGTACAGGCCGGGGATATGGAAGGTCATCGAGAGCGCGCGGGAGGAGGACGAGAGCGCGATCGAGGAGGACGAGGACGACGTCGAGGCGCCGGCGCTGACGTTGCCGGCGTCGTTGGCCGGCGAGGAGTTTGCGGATCGGATGCGCAAGAGAAAACTCTGGCGAGACGGCACGGCGACCTTACGTGAACCTTAAGTTAGTTAGCCTGCTACTGCACGAATGATGAAATCGCTACGGTGCTACGTCGTAGCTCGCGGGATACACCTCCGACTCCGGCGGGCGCGGCGGCGGCGGCGGGCTCGCCGGCGGCTCGCGCAGCGTCCACTCCACCTCCTCCGCCTCCGTCCACTCCCCCGGGCGGTTTCGACTCGACTCCAAGATCTCCACCCCTTTCCTCTCGCTCAGCCGCGTCACGAGCGCGCGAATCGAGGGCGTGTTCCATATGAAGTCCAGAAACCGATTCCCCATCTTCTTGTTCACGGTCAACCGCCGCGCGTACCCGGCCGCGATCACGACGAGGAAGAGGCACACCATGAGCCACGACAGCGCGCCCTCCCCCGCTTCGTTTTGTATCCACTCGCCGTGCATGTTCCCGCGCAAGTCCCCGGGGTCCGGGATCACGTCCACCCACCCGACGCGATCCAACTTCGGGAAACTCGCGTCGACGTACGATATCCCCGTGTTGTACATCGTCGCCTCGACCGGGCCGTTGCACGCGAACGCGAACTCGGCGTGCGCGACGCATCCGTTGACGTCGCCGTACCCGGCGTAGAATCGATCCATCACCTCCACGCCGTCGATCACCTTCGCGAACGCGGCGTACTCCATCGGGTCGAACCGCGCGGCGTTGTCCGCGAGGTTAATGAACAGCTCCGCGGTCCGCTGCGTGCACTTGACGCTCTCGGACGTCTCCCCCGAGCCGGCGTACGAGACCCAGTACCGCCCGTTCGTGCCTCCCCACGCCTCGTTCAGTCCCTCGTCCGGCACGCGCGCGGCCGCGTTCGAGGCGTCGTACGTCGTCGCGACCGTCGCGTCCGCGGCGATCCCGAACTGCACGACGTACCCGGGGAGGACGCGGTACAGCGCGCTCCGGTCGTAGTACCCCAGCCGCGCGAGGTTGTACAGGCGGTCCGCGCCGTGCGGCGAGAGCTTCCTCCACGCGCGGATCGTCATCACGCCCTGCGTGGTGTAAAAATCGTAGTCGCACACGTCCGGCGCGGTCGTCGTCATCGCGCTCCCGCCCGGGTCGCACAGGTCGCTCCCGGGGCACGACGGCGGCGTGGGCCACTCGGACGTCGACACCGGCGGCGGCGGCGGCGGGGCGTCGAGGAGGGCGCGCCCGCGGCGGGGCGCGGGCGGGGGCGCGCGCGACATGCTCGCGTCCCCGACGTCTGATGACAGAATCGCGCGGGACCCGCGTCTTTTGGCCTCTCCGATGCTTCGAGAGTCGCGGCCGGGGCGTTGAAAGGTTCGTTTCATCGGGGGACGACGTCGCCGATCGCGGGTTCGGTTCAAACGATCTGTCAGCACCGGATTGAGGGCCGTTCCCCGCGGGCGCCCTCAGTTCCGACCGCGCGAGGGAGTCGTCGCGCGCGCTCGCGCGTCGTCGTCGTCGTCGTCTCCCGCGCGATGGACGCGACGCCGCTGCGGCCGTCGAACGCGGCGGGGCGCGTGGAGACTTGCCGCGCCGTCGCCGCGGAGCTGCGCGCGAAGCTCGCGAACTTGCACTCGGATTTCATGGGAGGCGACGACCCGGACAACGAGCCGGAGCATCGCACGGCCGCGGACGCGTTCGACGCGCGCCTCGCGCGGTGCGTGGACAAGGAGAACGTCCGCGGCGACGCGAACGACGACGCGCCGTCGTCGTCGTCGTCGTCGTCGTCGCCGCCGTTGTCGGACGCGGAGCGGTGCGCGCGGGAGGAGCGGCATTCGGACGCGCTCGCGTGTTACCTCTCGTTCGTCCGCGCGCGCGCGACCGCGGTCGTGCGCGGGGAGGTCGCGCTGACGGACGCGGACGAGCGCGCTCGCGCGGAGACGACGCGCGTCGCGCTCCTGGAGCACTTCGCGAACGAGCTCTCGAGCGCGCTCGACGCGCGGTCGCGACGGGCGGAGCGCGACGCGACGCGAACGAATCGATTCGACGACGACGACGACTATTACGACGACGACGACGACGACGACGCGCGTACCGCCGCCGCGACGCGCGGCGCGACCAGCATCGGCGCGGTGTTCTGGTTGTCCGAAACCGTCGGGTCCGCCATCGCGCTCGCCGCGGGGTCGAGAGCGGCGTGGTCGCGCGCGTCCATCTCGAGAGACCCCGACGCCGTGCGCGACGCCGACGCAGATCGCGCGAGAACCGCCGCGGGGTGGGACGCCATCGAGCGGAGCTTCGACGCGGCGTTCGACGCGACGCGACGGCGGTGCAAGTCCTCCGCGCGCGCGCGCGCGAACGCGGCGATGCTCGTCAGCGGCGCGAGCGGCGCGGTCGGCAAGGCGGCGAGCGCGTTCAAGCGCTCGGCGGCGTTCGTATCGAGCGACTTTGCCGCCGCGTCCGCGGCGACGGCGGCGGCGGCGGCGACGTGCCTCGAGCTGCTCCTCACGCTCCCGGAGACGCCGGCCGTTGACTGGCTCGCGCGCGTCTTCGGCGTCCCGTGCGCGAGAGCCGCGCGCAGGGCGCTCGACGCGGCGTGCGAGAAAGCGGACGAGGGCTCGAGCGCGATGGACGAGGCGGTCTCGCGATCGCGCGCGAGCCGCGACGCCGTCGCGTCGTACCTCGACGCGCTCCGTCGGGCGATCGCGGACGCGGGCGTCGACGGCGCGGCGCGCTGGAGGGTCGTCGTCCTCCGCGCGGTGCGCGCGGAGGTCAGGGTGGCGTGCGAGGAGCACCGCGCGCGGTTCGCGAACGCGCTGAAGAGACGCGCGGCGCCGACGGCGGCGGCGTTGAGCGCGGGGGTCCGCGACGCCGCCGCCGCGATCGTGAGGTGCGTTCTGTACACTGGTCCCCATACGACCCCGTCGGCGTGGTGAACGCCGATCCTTAAGGACTTTTCTCGGCGTGTCTCATCGCCCACCCCACGGTTTCAATCCCCGCCCTCGACGCCTTTCAACTCCGCTTCTGACGCCTTTCAACTCCACCCCGACGTTCGCTCGTATGGAACGACCCTAAGTCCGCCGTGGAGCTCGTCGTACGTCGCGTACGCCGCGCCGGACGCGGTCGTGACGCGGTTGCGGGCGAAGAGGGCGAGGGAGAGGGCGGAGAGAGAGGCGGCGCGACGCGCGGCGCGGGAGGAGAAGGCGGCGGCGAAGGCGGCGGCGAAGGCTGCGGCGGCGGCGGCGGCGGCGGCGGCGGCGGAGACGTCTCCGAACGGCACCGTCCGCCGGCGCGGCGATCGAAGGGTCGTCGTGTATGACGACGACGACGACGACGACGACCCCGACGCCGACCGCGAGGACGCCGCCGCCGAGGAAGAAGAAAAAGAAGAAGAAGAAGATGAAGACACCGCCAGCGATCGCGACGACAAGGAGAGCGAGGACGAGTTCGCGGCTTTCGACGTCTCGGCTCGGGACGCCGCCGACGCCGCCGCCGCCCGCTCGCGCGTCGTCGAGTCCCTGTGCGCGGGCGCGTTGTCGGAAACCACGCCGATGCTCGCCGTTCGTCGAC